GATCGACGGGATCATCATTCGCTAATTGTAATTGGCGCAGTACTAATGCGTCATAACTAGACTATCACTAACAATGTCTTGCGATTTCTGTCCATTTTCTGGTAACCGTCGCGTTCGCTGAAACGTTTATTTGATAAAAAACAATGTACGCATCTGTGTCGTTGTCGTTAATCCTGTAAGATCATTACGATTGCGGAATGCGGGTAAATTCTATAATAAAAATATCATTAGTTAGATATATGGCTAAAATATTTTACATTCTTGTGTTTTGGGATCAACGCCGTTTCTATCATTAATAATCATCCCCACAAGAAGCGTTACACAGATTAGTTTGTATTAAATCAGTACAAAAAAAGGTGAACTACCTTTGCAACATTATGATTAAGTTAATTGAATCTTTGATGAAGTTGGTTGAAATTTTGATGAAGTTGATTAGACCACGTAGGGGCACCTTGTAAAGTGCCAGGTTGCAAGGCCGATAATCTTGCTATAAAAAACAAGCGATTAATATTTGTAGATATATAGTATTAGTGATAGATGAAAACTTACCGTTTCCCACCTGAAACATAAAATCTGAGGCTGATTCGGTAGCATCACCATGACCTAATAAGTAATAACAATTAGTAGGAAGTTTAAACAATGCACTCTGTGGCTCTGTGCTAACTTACGATAACGTTTAATAACTTCAAAATTATAGATAATTGCATTAGAGACCAGGAGTAACATTTTGAGGGATAGTTATTGGATGTGCTGGATGTGCTTGTTACCACCAGTATAGGTTGGTAAATTAAAAGCCATTTTATTTGTTAAAAAAGCTAAGGTTTGAAAAATTTATAGGATTAAGAAAGAGGAAGAGGAAGAGTTGGTTTTAAAATAAAAATGTGATTACGTCTTTTTGTTTTATATCAATATCTAAAATCCAATTTTTTTAAAGACATTGTTAAACTTAAACTGAATTAACAAAGATTATTTAAGAAATAAACACGAATAATTAAATTGAATGGTCAGGTCTTCTTGATCGATATAGATTTAAAGAAGAATGAATTATTTAACGATCAAAGATAAGTTTTAGAGATAAATGTTATTGATTTATTAGAGAATTGTAACGACTCTGCCCTTTTATCAAGGCAGAAATACAAGATATATATATAAAATACATCAATATTAAAGAAATATAAGAAATGTAATATGAGAAATTAGAGATCGCTAAGATATTATAGGATCCGTGATCGTAAGATTACATTAAATATATAAAAAAATACAATACATTAAAAAATATTATATTAAAATCAGCATGTGCTTCGGAATAATTGCCTCTTTAACATAATAAATATTGTATTTATGAATTGGTTGCTTTAAACAATAATGAACTAAATTCCTGTATTTCTCTATTGCTAGGTTCATTTTATTTAAAAATTGGTCAGAAAATTTTATATAATAAGGTCTGAATATTAATACCGTAATTCAAGGTAATCGCTCATCGATTACTTGCTCGCAAAGTTTATTCTAAATAATTTTCATTAATGGTTTTGTTATTGGCTTTGGTTGCTTCTTCTTATTTTCTAACCTTTTCTTTTAAATTAATAACCAGCTATCAAGTTGTGGTCCAAGTTATTTTATGACAATTTTTCTCATTTTTACAAATACCATTTGTAGAAAAAAATTATTTACTTACTAACAAAGTATAAATAATTTTTTTCTAAAGCATTCTTTAGTATGAGATTTTTAATCGATGCAATACATTTTATTTTTGAAGATCATTCATGATATAAAACTACATAATTATTTATTTGTTTATTCCCGAAAAAAATCCCTCTTATCACAACATCAGCTATAATATATAAAGGATTACCACTTGTAAATGAAGATGAGATTATAGACATCATGTCCCTCCACAAGAGGGAGGAAATATATGGTTGATTTATGATCCGTAACGTGATTTTAATAATTAATAGCCAACCATTTACATATATTTATTTTAGTTCCGCGATGTTTCAACAATTTCGTTTGATTTCGATGGTTTACAATATTTGACTTAGAGTTTGTTTCGGACCTAGCTAAATTTTAGTAAAATTTCCAAAGGGAATTCAATTGAAAATTACTATCAAAGTATTAATGAGTTCATCGGTTTTTCACTATAAAAAAAATTTTGGCAAAACGTCAAAACATTTTCGATTTTGCCATCTATCGAAACTTCTGTTCTCGATCGCATTGTGCTGCGTCGATTTAATGATAACTTTTTAATCTATTTTATTTTATATTTTATATTAATTTTATTATTTCTTTTTTTTTAAAAGTTTTTCAATCCATCGTCGATTGAATGGTAGATGAAAAAAATTATTTTATTTTTATTTTTATTTTTTCAGTTAAGTTGCTTATTATTTCGTTTTTATTGGAGCATTTATTTTATTTTCATTTTCGGATTTTGATGATACTAATCATTTTCTGTATTCATTTATGAAAATGTCAATAAGCGAAAAAGCGAATAAATTTTTTAGTAATGATTATCTACGTTACTGTGATTGTTTCCAAATTTGGCCAATTTGGAAAAAGATAATGGTTTACATGCAAAAAAAAAAAGTCCAAAGTTTCAATTTTATAGAATACACGATGAAAAGTAAAAGAGATATTGGATAACCTCGCAATTTTGGACAAATTTGCAAGAACTGGTGAAACGTTTGATTTGCAAGATTTATTTTTTAGATTTACAATGGATTCTTTCGGAAAGTAAGTGTTGATTGAGTGTGTGCTTATTTTTTTTAAAAAAAAAGCATAATTATTTTCATTTATAAATTTAAATATTTTTTTCTACAGAATTACACTTGGGTTGGACTTTAATTGCCTAAATAATTCAAAAGATCCGGTAAAATTTGCAACATCCTTCGATTTTGCCTAAAGAGTAATGAACAATCGAATCGAAAATCCTTTTTGGAAATTTACAAAATTATTTACAGAGAAAGGTCGTAAAATGCGCGAAATGTGCGATTATTTATCAACTTTTGCTTATGATATAATTAAGAAACATAGGAGTAATCCGGAAGCATCAAAAGACCACAGAGATATCCTTAATATATTTATGAACGCTCAACATGATAACGAAGAAAAATTGACCGATAAGGAATTAAGAGATATTATATTAAATTTTATCATTGCTGGTACGCCTTATATAACAATTTATATATACTGTATTTCCTTTATTTTCTATGTTTATTAATCTTAATCTTGCATAATTTAGGACGTGACACAACTGCACAAGTAGTAATACTTTGGCGCATGCTTCTTTAATTGTTATACAAGTAATATTCTAATTGATATATAATATTTAGGCGCTCTCGTGGATGATGTATAATCTCATGGTCCGTCAAAGAAATAATTAGTCGTTAAATTAACATCTTATAATAGGTCATCAATGTTTGCTCGAATTTTAAAGAGAAACTATATTTCTGCCTAATTTAATTAATAATTATGAAAACTATAGTAGGATTTGTAGTTACGAAATAGTTGAAATAATAATAAATTCCTTACGCACGCCGCATCTGACTAATGAAAATTTTATTAAAACATAGTGGTACAAAATTTTTAAAATATTTCAACAAAATTTGTTCAGTAAATCATAAAAAATAAATTTTTTAGAATACTATTTAATTTAATATACCCTTTTTTAACGATCACTTGGGCGAAACAATTAATTTTGAAACTTTTTCGCACAATGATGTCCGGAATTTGGAAACACTTTGTATATATTGACAAACTAGTTTCGCCCGAAACATAGACTAGTTAACGGGTATTTTTTTAAGAAATAATTATTTATGAACCTAATGAATAGAAAGGCATAACGAGGTAATATTGTTGACGTATGAAAATCTTTTTCAACCCATCATTTTTATGTAGTCATTTGTAAATGGCAATAGAAAAAGAAAAAATTCTCTGAATTATATATTGTATATAACACAAAAAGTTCAGAAAATATTTATGAACCTAGTCGTTTAGTTTTCAAGTCGGTTTCTGATAGTTTAAGTTTAAGTGGTTGGAATCGTTTTGATTTCCGAAAACCGGTCTGAATTGAATTTAGTTGACAACACAACCTGTTTGTTTTGCTCTAAAATGATTTTCCTGTTTCGATTTGTGACGTCAAATATAACCTTAGCCGAAAGCACAAATCAACTTGATTCGAATTGTTAAATATGGAAATTTGATTCATTAAACTCATGTTTAAATTCTAAATGAATTAACTTAAACTAATTGTTCATTTAAAAATTTATTATGAACTTGATTATTATCGTACAAATATGATGTATTGTAATATTGTGCATAAAAAAGTTTAAATTTTAAGGATGATTTTCATTAAAATTTTTACAACTATTTAAATTTAAAATATTTCTTTGCATAAGATGAATAGATTAATTTGTGTCATTGGTGCATGCAAAAAGCTTAATAAAGGATCTCAAGTATCTCAAGTGAGTTTCTTGGGATTAAGCGATCGATCTATAAAGTAACGAAAAATTTAAACGGTACTTGATGTATCTAATATGCAATTACTTATAGTTTAAAATTTTTAGCTTTTACTAAACATGAAAATTTATTTTTTTATAATTTTTTTTTGTTTTGATGCCCTATGATTTACGATAGAGAAAACTTTTAATTAAATCGCAGAAACACTTTACTTTCTTCAGAAGGTCGTCAACCATTACTTTTCTCAAAAGTTAGCCTATTGATATACAACAGTTACTCAGTACTTCTTACAACGATTCTCCAAAAAAAAAAATAATTTCAATAAAAATGAAAAAAGTATTCTTAATTTTAAGAATATTTGAACAAGGCTAAAAAACTTTTTTTTATTTTTTTCCAATTCGAATAAAAATTATTTCAGTTTATAATTTTAACTAATTTTAATATTTACCGCAGTTTATAATAAGTAATTCCATGCATTAAAATCAGCTACAAGTAACGAAGGTAATACAATTTGGAGTACTTAGTAATGATTTGAAAATTAAAGAATGTTTCGATAGGCAAAGTTTTTTATTGTTTACAAATCTGGTTAGTATTTCGATCGCTTCGAGGCGCAGCGATCGTATTATTATTAATTTTTTTTGTTTTTGTTCCTCTTTCGGCCAGCAAAATATTAGGTAAGACTTTATTTTGCAATAAAATTTATACTACTAATATCCCCTTTATTTCAGTTCTATATTTATTAATTTAAATTTTTTTTTAAAGGCTATAGATAATACGCTCCGCTCCTTTGGCGCAATTTAAACAGGTTTTAATACATAAAGAACTAAAAAAATTTAGATTAATTAAAAAATCGAACCTTATTTTCAATATTGCCGCAGCCAAACTCTTATAAATGAAAAGACGATTTATACTTTCTTCTTTCTTCCCTATCCTTAATTAAAATCAGGTATAATAATACATGGAATCAGAATCTATGCCGGTACGGAAAGGTCTAAAAAAAAATATTATAAAGTTTAATTTATATTAAAAAAAAAACACACAGAGACAAAAGCTAACATCCTAACGATTTGATAAAGCTAATTGGTTTCTACCAACCAGTTGCAGATTTTATTTTAATAAAAAAAAAGGAAAATTCTGCTTATACGGATCCTAACTTGTTCTGCAACTGAAAATATCATATCTCAACGTTATTAAATTTTATATTTATATAAAAATCCGTAGTATCTCGTTGCAATCAATTATTTTTATATACACCTTTTTTTTAAAAAATAAATATAAACACCAACTGATGATGTAATATAGACTTTTGAGAAGTTACTTATAAGATACAGTATCTTGACACTTAAAGTAAAATTTATATAGGTAAATGACGAATAAGTTTGTTAGATTTACCATTTATAATTAATCAACCAAATAGTGAACGAAAAAAATTTTATTCTTTTAATTACTATCTCAAAACAATTTAATAAATATTAGAAATAATTTCAAGAAATTGGTAAAAACCTTTCATAGAAATGTAACACAAATTATGTATGAAAAGTTGATCGACATGCATGCAGAAATATATAAAAAAAGTTGATCGACATGCATGCAGAAATATATAAACAATGAGAATCGAGAATGTTCTAAAGTTTTTTTTTCCCTTAAAAATATAAAATTAAACTCGCGAGCGACGTATTTAAACCTTCCATATAATAAGGTAAAACGCATACAAATCAATCTATCATC